TATATATATGGAAACCAGTAGATAAGCAATACAGCTCAGTCTCAGAATCAATTCAGCAATGGAAGGCTCTCCCAGCACAATACCCTGTTAGGTGTTATTACTTGTTTCAGTTTAGGGTGGATGAAGTGGTACAATGGGACACTGTCCTCAATGCACCAGACTCCTAATACATTTTGCCATCATGCCAGGTAAATTATGCTTTTTCTTTGTCTCTGTCATGAGACAGATTTTCAAAAAACGAAGAAAAGGAGTGTGGACTGTGCCCAGCAAACAATGTGTTTCATCAGCCAAAAAAAAAATCTGTACTGTCTGTTTAAATCCACTTTCACTTTTCAAAAGTCAGTTCGGCATCTTAATTTAAAGCAAACCTGTCACATGTGAAGTAAGATCACAGTGCAGATGTTGCAGTTGCTGAGTAGTCAGCAGTAGAAAATAAATGGTCTTGTTAGCTTTTATTTACATTTCTATCTACACGATAGAAGGCAGCATGGAGTCTGGGGCTGTGGGCACTGCAGATAATTATTTGGCATGGCTATGCCCAGGGTGACTTCAGTATTTAATTATAACATTCATCGGGACAGGGAAACAATTGCCAAGAGTTATATGACTATATGTAATTTGTGAGCCTCTGCGTGTCTTAGTGACAGTGTCCCTTTAAATTTGATGTGCTGCCGTCTGCTGGATGTAAACTGTCATGCGAAAACACTCACACAGTACATTGTAGTAGAAGGTGCTGACTTTATTTGTAGATTGGAACACAAATGTCATTTACACAGGGGACCTCATGGTTCCCTCACTCTGGGTAGTTGCCAGAAATGTATAAAGTGCACAGGTTATATGTTGCAGGCAGCTACATTCAACCTTTGTGTGTGTGTGATACAATTTGTATCCATTATTCATATTTTTAGTATTATTGACTTTGGAAATTCAAAAATCTTTGGAAAATTAAAAGGATAAAAGTCTCAGGACATTATAAGATGTATTACCACATAGAATGCAACAATGTTTTTTTTTTTCATTCCCTGACCTCCTTTACGTTCCTTTCCTACCATCCTATGCATTCTCAGCCTTTCTGCCCATCCTTTGGCCTTCTACCCATGCCATACCCTCCTGCCTATTACTTATTCTTCTGTATATCCACTGATCTCCTGTTAAGCCCATGTCCAGCTGCCTATCCTCTGCCCTCCTGTCTATCCCATACCTGTCCTATGACCTCCTGCCCATCTTATAATGTCCTCCCGAATCCCTGGCTTCCTGCTCATCCTCTGCCATCCTGCACATCACCTACCTTCCTGCTCACCCCACTGCCCATCTTATACTGTCCTGTCCATCTTATACTGTCCTGCTAATCTTATACTGTCCTCCTTTTGATCCCCTAAACTCCTATCCTCCTGTCCATCACCTATGTTCCTATCCATCCAATGCCCTCCTGCCCATCCTATTTCCTTGTGCCTCTGCTCTGCTTCCCATATACTATTCTCCTGTCTATTCCCGGCACTCATGCTCATCCCCTGTCCTCCTGCCTATGCTCTGTCCTCTTGCTCATCCCCTGCCCTTCTGCCCATTGCCTATCCTTCTGACGATCATCTGCCCCTCTTTTTATCCTATGCCTCCAACCTATTTCCTAGGCTTCTGCCCATTTCCTTCCTATCATATTTACTCTTGCCGATCCCTGCCCTCTTGCCCCATCTATGCCCTTCTTTCTATCCGCTATCCTTCTGCCCATCCTATGCCCTCCTGTCCATGCTATTCCCTCCTGCCCATTTGTTATCATCCTCTCCCCCTGCCTATCCCCTTGCCTATTCCTGATGGTATAGCTGGCATTTGTCTACCCAGGGAGGAAGGGGTTATGGCTCATCTAAGTGATGCTGTGTGGCAGGCAGAGTTGCCTGATTATGTAAATAACTCCAATATTGATCTTAATGTTAATTCAAATACCGCTCCTGAAGAGCATGAATCATTGATGAGAATTCCCCACAAAGTCCCCCAGCGGATGCAAATGAATTGTGGTTGATTTGATTTTCTATTCAGGCTGTTACCAGACAAACACTGTACAGTGATAAACTCCCAGCTACTCTACTGCTGCAGGACATTGCTCCATCGACACCATAACTGATCCATGCCGATGTAGTCTGCAGAATATACCATTACATACCTTTCTACAGATCTGCAGAATATTGCTCTGGAGCATCTACTCCTGGCGGATACATACTGATATATTCTGCAGAATTTTCCATTACTGACTTCTCTACAGATCTGCAGAACATTGCTCCATCCCATCTACTCCTGGCAGATACATACTGATATATTCTGCAGAGCATTGCATTACTGGCATCTCTACAGAACATTGCTCTATACCTTCTACCCCATGGCAGATACATACAGATATACTCTGCAGAGCATTGCATTACTGACCTCTCTACAGATCTGCAGAACATTGCTCCATCCCATCTAATCCTGGCAGATACGTACTGATATATTCTGCAGAGTATTTAATTACTGACATCTCTGCAGATCTGCAGAACATTGCTCTATACCATCTTCCCCTTGGCAGATTCATACATATATACTCTGCAGAGCATTCCATTACTGACCTCTCTACATATCTGCAGAAGATTGCTCTTTCCCATCTACCCCTGGCATTATACATAGTGATGCTTTATACAGATTATTCCATTATTGCCCTTTCAAGAGAACTGCAGAGCATTGCACTGTTCCATCAACTACTAATCATATCCATATTGATATGTACTGCAGATTATTCCATAATCAACCTCCCTTGAAAACTGCAAGGCATTACACCATCCAATATACCTTCTGACAGACACATATTGATACATTCTGCAGCTCATTCCATAACTAACCTCCTTAAAGTTCTGCAGAACATTGAACTGTTCATATATGCATGCCCACATATCAATATATAGATTGTCCTAAACCATTTGTCTCCCCAGCCCTGAACCACATTTCTGCACATACTTAATGCACCGCTTCCTCATCGATTTCTGTGATATACAACCAGTATCCACTGCTATGTTATATTGTCAGCCTCCTGCAACAAATGCAGCTTTTGCAACATTAAAGAGACAGTCTTGAAATAGTTTCTCAAAGTCCATGGAATCCACATCACAGAAAAAGTCTGCAAAAGTTTCATCTCCAGAGCTGTCTGTTCTCTGTTCCCATAGAATGCCACCAAGAGGGGAGCCTGGGAACATCCCAGAGGCTGCGGGAGGTTGAGGTCCACCTAGGCAGGGGCACTCCTGGTCAGCATCACATATCCCCTCCTTGCCAGTGTCAAGTGATCAATGAATGCAGAATGCAGGGAGGAGGGCAGGTGAAAACTCTCTTCTGTGATGTCACAGAATTCTGCCCCTGTCCAATGGGAAAAAGGGAGGGGGGCTTACCCATGGTATGTGGGGGGAGGGAGCCCCCCCTGAACTCCTGTCACTTTCCCATTACACATCAATGTAGCTCTCAGCTCTATGGAATAAGTGCAAGCAGCAAGCACAAAACCCATCCCAGCCAGCACAGCCAACTTCCACAACTATCCAGTTTCTTTGGGCAAAGAAAGAAAAGCTTCCAATTTGCCCCTCTGTCACTTGGAATCAAAGTGAGTACCCAAAATATGAATGCACTAAGGGATTCATTGTTATTTTGCATGTGATAATCTGCAGCTCTTACTTTGCTTGCTCCCAGCAAGAAGGGGG